ATGAACAATTTAAATAACAAATTCAATTCACAACTAATTAATCCGTATACACTGAGAACTCTTCTGACACACATCCATGAAATAAGAGCCAAGGAAGACGCATAGGCTCTCGCGTTGTGAAAACGAAATTCTAGCACATTCAAATAAGCGCGAATAGACTTTGGATATAATAAAGAGTTGAAATCACATGGTAGTTGACATTTTCAAAAGACATTTTGAGAAATTTCAGAAATCTTGATAATGAGCATCACTTCAATGAGGTGTTTTTTTTTGGAAAGAGAATGAATTTATCACTGCAGTTATCATTTGAGTTTGGAGTACATTTCGTTGAGCTCTTTCATAAAATGCGACTTTATTTGTGGTCGTTTATTCTTCATTGTTGGCGTCAATAAATCGTTAGCAATGGTGAATCGTTCTACTGATAAATAAATATCTTTTACCTGAAAATAACTTCATATTTTTGGAAATATTAACTTCACAAGCGCCATTATTGGATGACGTTCTACACACATACATTATTGAGTGAGCACAGCTCAGATGCATTACGAAGTGATCAACTGAGATCGTGGCACCAATCGATTGTGATTAGCGGTGAATCAGTGAGGTAAGCTGATCGAAACAATCGTTCCGATGAGAACAACCAAAACGTGATCAAATCAAGTGTTCTTACCTGTTCAAAGGAATTGAGACCAGCTTTACGTCCAACAATGGTCAAATCGTTCAAAATCATCTTTTTCACGGCATCGTTACGACATAATTTCGCGAAATCTGTTTCAGCTAGGTCAAGCTTTTGCTTGGCATCTCTTAGAACAATCTTCAAATGGAGTCAGTTAGCAGAAAGTCTAAAAATTAAACGATTTCCACGAAGAACAAATGTTAATTGTAGAAAGTATCAGTAATGTTATATGCCTTTGAATACAATTTTAGGCCCTTCAAACGAGCAAACCGATGGATGTTACATGTTACAATGATGAAAACGAGCGAGTTGCTGCACAATTCATGAGCAGATAACGCGATAAAACGTTGACATTTGTGATTTCTATCATTATAATGACAGTATCTCTTGGAAGCACGAAAGCCGTTATGAGATGAGTGCAAATAAGCGGAACCTCTTGATCCGGCACGATAATCGCAACCAGACACGTTTTTAGACTTTCACCATACACAAACGACTGCACCACGTACTCTGATCTGTCGTAGACCGCTTCTATCTTCTCGGGTGCAATATATTCACCCTGCAACCATATCAATTCATCATAGCTGCCGATGACAAACGCAACGCAAAATCTGATCTGTCTGAATAAATCTGAACAAGCATGCATTTCCCAACCTATGCAATCATTTAGCATAAACCTCAGACATTTCAGTAAATTCAAGTATTTGTAGTTATCAATTGTTCTGAGGCCCTTAAATCGCAAAACTCTCTGCTTTAAATACCAGAAAAATTTGTGGTTTTCAATGAATCACTGTTATTAAGGAGAAGCGACACTTTTGCACTGAATCAATTCATTGAGAGTGCTGCCTTTGGATAAATTTGACTCTTTCATCGAACTATCTATCAGCAATTTTCACCTGCTGCAGTTTGAAAATATGCTTCTTTCGATCGACAATTTTGAGTGTTCCCCTTTCGGTCCATCGACCAATATCACCCGAATGCAGCCAACCATCTGCATCCAACACTTCTTTCGTGCCTTCATCGTTTTTGAAGTAACCTTTAAACACGTGTGCACCACGATAGCATATTTCACCAGCCTGCAATGAACATTTTTGCTTCGAATAATACACATCATTCCAGAGATGCAATCAATCCACTCAGTGCGGCACACCGACAAATTTCCACGAAAATTTCCGTGAATTGTTTAGTGATGCTGTGCGATGCAGTCAGTCATCGAACCTGATCTTTTGCATAATAGCCCAGTTCAGGAACATCAACCAGTTTAATGGCCGCACAAGCCAACGGAATACCAATATGCTCTGTGATCGGGTCTGCTTCGATGACTGCGCTTGTTCCTGCAGCACATTCTGTTGCACCTGAACGAAACAGGCACTATCATTCGGAGTAAAAGCGAACATTTAGGTTACTGATACCTGATAGATTACTCTGTGCACTCAGTTCAGTGAATTGCTGCAATAAAATAAACAGGGTGGTTTCGGAATTGGCTATAGAATGAAAGAGTGGGACGTGCGGGTATGATGATCACACAAATGAGCAGAGAAGAGTCCGAAGTTTACCATATCCTTCGACTATAACATAGCCAAGAACGGCTCTGGAGAACCGCAGTATATCACCGTGAACAGGCGCTGAACCGATCATCGAGAAACGCGCTCGTCCGCCCAATTCTTCACGAACTCGTTTGAAGACGTATCGATCGACAAGCGAATCATTGCGAATTATGCTCCTCAAAGCGAACAAATGAAATGAACCCCCTCCTTAATACCATTTATCCTATGTAATAGCGCAAGAAATCGCCGTATATCCATGCCAAAGGCGTGAACAAGGCAAGGCGATTGATTAGGATAGTGAAGTGAAGCAATTTGTTGTCTTACCTGCTCAATTCCCTGTATTTGAAAGCTAACGCCAAATTGAATATTATTCTTTTCAGGAACGATTTATTAACTTTCGCCATCACCTGCAAGCATCGCTATCTTATCAAATATAAGACACAATCCACTTTTCGTTGCTATACTATACTGGATATCGTTACTTTCAATTGGCTTGTTACTTTGTAGAAAGAAAGAGGAATAATTTCAAACAAATTGAATCAGCAAAAAAACTGACTGTGTCGTGAAATCGATTCAAAACTCGAGGCACCAGTGGAATAACTGTGGGATGAAGTTCTTTGATGTCATCAATTAACCGATTTACATCTCCACCAAAGAATCCAAATCTTAGACCAACTTGATATCCGATACAATGCAATAATCGTTCATACATATGCGCTAATGGTAAATAACTTATTGATACGTCCTGGAAGATGGGAATTTATGCAGTTATTATGAGAGAGCTATATGCATACTCCATAAATATTACGTAACCCAGTGGTTCTCATAGGAGGTGAAGTTACCCATTTTGGGTAATTTGGAAGTGTCAACGGGTAATGGAGAGGGTCGGGAAACTAGTATTTCGTGCAGCTGTTATGTTATGATAGAATGTCATTGTGATGATATTTTTGAACTCGGATATGTAAACGCGGTTAGTTTATGGCA